CAATTATAAAACATTAATTGCTGGATTATCAGAAAAAATTGATGAGCACCTCAACGAAGAATATAATTTCAGAGACGATAATATTCATTGACCAGATAGTAGAATCATTCTGTAATACATATCCAATTCTGCTAACTCAATTACACAAATGCTTCCATGGCCCGTTTAAGTTCAAAAGCGTTCCTGGTGGAACTCTGAATGCAAAAGTCGCTATTAAAACGCTAAAAAAGCATTTAACCGGTTATAAAAAAAGAAGAAGATATATGATACGCCGAATCAACTATAAGAGAACTAGAGCTATTGCCCGCAGAAACTGCTAAAATAAAACAGAAGCTAGATCATGGACTGAATATATCATCCTCAATAACTGCCAAATCGAACTCAACAGAGAGCTGGAAAAAATCAAAATCCATACGTGGTATGAAGACTAATAGTACTATTACATTTCTTGCGTTGCAATGACAGATATAATAGAGACCCCAAATTATTGCTGAGAATTTGCCGAAACTTTCATGAAAATTCCATCACTTCCAATTACCAACGGAATTTATCACTTATAAAGAAAAGCAGAAAGTGAACCAAATATGACACCTATTGATGACAGCATCTATGATAATGACATGAATTCTCCAATTTTCATGCACGAACTACAACAAGTTTTAAGAAGATCAACAAACTCAGCTCCTGGCCCAGACAAATTCCAAACTGCCTAATAAAAAATCTCCCAAAAGAGGTATTAACATTTATTAAAAAATATATAACCATATTATGGCTAAATAATTTTTTCCTGAACTCTGGAAGACTCCACAGTCATTCAATTTCCCAAACCTGGCAAGGACCAGTCAAATAGCTATCAATTTACCGTACACAATCTCACTGACCTGCAACCTATGCAAAATATTAGAAAAAATCGTTAACAAGGTAGAATTAACGTAGGTTCTCCTTGAATCTAACATTTAATAAAAGGACAACCGAATTTGGATCCAGAACTGCACTCACCACCTCACATCTTAACGTACATAACGAAAATCAAGAAGCTTTTCTTGCAGACAGCACGTTATCTTAGTAAATCTAGACTCGAAAAGCATACGAATATGGTATGGACCACACCGCAATACTGCTAAATTATACTTAGTATTGTACAAGGGCAAATTTTTAAGTTCTTACCAACTTTATTAGCAACCAGATGTATTTCTAAGAAGTATAGGTAATGGCATATTTATCGGAACACATTACAAGAAACTTAATAATGGGCTACCGCAAGGATCAGTGCTCAGGTGGACTAAACTATTTTTAATCGGGCAAAAATTGATGCTTTGATGATGATAGTTGTATGTTACAACGCAGTTGTCGTGCGGAAACACTACGGAGCCGATGAATATTGGTTGGTTACTAGTGCAAAGGAAGGAATCTTTCGATTCCAACCAATGAATTTAATGAGACCATGCAGTTAAATAACTGTAATTTTCAAATGGTCATGAAAAACAGGTTTCACAATTCTCGACGATGACCAATAGGATATTGGTGCAATTTATTTTTTATAAAAATTAATGCCCTCGTTCCTATCCAGTACAATTGGGCAAGGACAAAGCTCATTAAGTAGATGTACACATACAAAATCTGGACCTATATTTTGACATAGCCAGAGGATCATTCTGCATACATGCAGAAGAATACTCAAATACATGTCTCGCACTAGAAATCACTTATCAGTCGAGTCTATAATCAACACAACTGGGTGGAAGTAGGAAAAATATAATTCCTTACTACTTACATCATAACAGAAGCTTAATAGTAGAAGTAATTTAGGAGTAGCATTTCGGATCTATTGTATATACAATCAGTCATGCGTGCACTCAACTTAAGAAAACATGGACACACTGCACAATTGCGACGCAGAATAAGCACTGGTGGTCATCACACAACCAATGGTAGTATTCTCATCGAAAGCGGCTGAAAACTAACCTCACATTTGAAGACAAAACCTTATCATCTAAATACGCAATTAAAGCCGAAACATCTTATCATAAGCATAATACGTATGGCATGTTATCTCCTGGATTGTCAAGTATAGTGGAAATCTCACAGTGTTCTATCACTTTTCTATAATATGGAAAGTAGCTACGTATTCTAGCCATCCCCTCAACATTTTTCGGGAGTCTTCCGTAATATGATTATAGTCTAAAGCATCCCGTGTACATCTCTTGGACCTAAATCGTCACACATTATGAAGTAAATCACTCTTGGTTGAAGATTCAGCAGAAACAACTTCTTGGCTTACAACGAATTGGAAACTCAGGATAAGTGGAAGGCGTATGTAATATCATAAAATTTACTACAATCAAGTTCATTGTGACGGACTGCATATACAGTATTTTCTGAGGTCAATGTGAAGGGATCAAAATCTTTGGTGAAATTCCTGTATGAACATTGCTAGTGCCCAGGAAACATGCTTCCATACCATGCAAATTCTGGAAGCGCTATAAAAACGAATTAGCCCATAACATTATGTACCGATGCACTATCATCACTGTAATAAAATTCCTAAAGATATCTCAAAATATTTATGATGAAACACAATCAAAACGACGGCTCGAATTAAGAACTTCCTTTCATTGATTAAACTTCAAAGCTATCAGTAATTTTTCTTCTCTTATTACCTAATCAGCTGTATCCAATATTATGACCGAAAATAATAACAATTAAACTAAACAAAGATAATAATTGATCTCCAAGGAAAACAATGGAAGACCTAACCCCTGATACACCCCAACCAAGATGTCATAAAGATTCGTACATAGGAAGATGCTCAGCAATGGGAACCATATGCGGTGTCATAAGTCTAGTAATAACCCCATAAATCAATCGGATTTATTCCATCACTACAAATCGGACCCCAAGATGACAGACGCGAACAGAGCTTTAATACACGAATCAGAACTGGTCATTCTAAACATTACACACAGGACTTGCTGAGAATACCTCACCACCACTATGCTCATATGTCAAGCAATACTATCAATCGAACCATATTATTATGTCCTTCGTAAAATATAATCAATGTAGAACTAATGTATTTTAAATCAAAATGAACATGAGAAAAATTCCTGTACTATTCCCTTTCAGAACCGAGTTGTGCAAATTTTGCAAAAAACACAAAATGTCATGCCTTGAAAATATAACTTATTGGTAAGCCCCCCGTATCTATAGAGTTTATGTTTATGATCCCTACCCGATGATATTAGTATGATTGTGTTAACAAGTATGTAAGAATAACAATATGTTATAACTTAATATGTTATTATGTTATTTATGTATTTATTTATGTATATTATGTTAATGTAATGTTGTGTAACCCTCAGAAAAGAATGTTATGACTATGCCCTTGCATTGTTCGGTATGTTGATGCGTATGTAAATATAAGTAATTATTGATACATGATATTATGTATGCACCAATATATTCTGATACTTTTGTTTATTAATGACAGATAGACAAGTCACTAAGTTCTGTAAACACCTGTAATAAAAAATGTCGTCGCTAAAACCCTTAGCGTTGATGCCGAACCAAAAAAAAAACAGAAAAAAAATCGGCTGAACAATGTATTTATTCTGAGACTTAATTCAAGCTTTCAAAAAACGAGTTATTTGAATCAACAAACAGACTCACCAATTTTATTTATGTAGATTCCAATTCCGCATCATATATTATTAAACTAAGATTAAAGGCTCTCAAAATTGTGTATGGAGCTATTAATATTTCTACTCTCCCACGTTTTGTCAAATAACGGCATATACATCATCTCCAAGTTGTACGTAAACATGCTTGGTCCTCGGGTAGCATAAAGGACGCTTCAGAGAATAGTGCAGGTCTCATACTTCAATAACATGGTATAGGATATATTGTAATATACAAGTTAATCTCATTAATACAAAAACCATGTTTCAAAATAAATCAAGCTCATAGGCATAGCTCGTCATTAAAGGCTGTAAGGCAGCGCATCTCCAATACAATGTGTGTGCATATATTTAATATATTTAATATATATTATATATATACAATTATTATTATTATTATTATTATTATTGTTGTTATAAATTACGAACTCAAAGATATATTGTTGCTATGTCACACTCTTTTCCATTCATCTTTGTAAAAATCTAACTGCAGTGCTTCAAGGAAACTAGTTTTCGGTGACTGAGGTGTATGATCCGGTTACATACCAAAATTTGTTGGATTTGTATTCTGCTTAACCTAGGTCTTCTGAAAATTATTTTGAATGAAAAACATTTCCCTAGCTTGCTTCATCGAGCATGTTTCCAGAAAGTCAGCATTAGAAAAATATTTTGAAAAATAAGATTAGTTTCTTAAATACAATGTAATTGTTAGAACTCATTACAATCTTTTATTTTTATTGCTTGTTATTATTAAATAACTAAGTTTACAGAATAATAATATTTCAAGCATTTTCAAACTTTACTAACAATTTTTGCAACGTTTTCAATTTAAAAACCTTAATTTGAAAACCAATGATATGCAAATTTTCATTATTTCATTATAGTACAAATATTCAGTGAAATAAAATAGTTAGTCTCAAGCAAGCTTTTTCAAACCGAAATTAATATGACAAAATATTGCAATTACTATTTCAATATTATTTAACTTACTTATTAATTGAATTAATTGACTTAATTAATTTACTTTTAATTGAAAAAAGTGTTGTTCCATTTTTCACATGATTGAGAAAAATAAATAAGCATTACTCTTTACCCATGCATTTTATCACATGTTGGCATTTGAATATTAGAAAAAATGTTAAATTAGTGTTCGTTTTTTACTAAAACTAATTTTTCATATTTGTGTTTCAATAATTTACATGCTAAAGAATATATGTACTCATTTAAATCAATGTCGTGTGAGTAAAATGTATAACTTTATTTTTAAAAAAAGCTTAATTGTGTGAAAACAAACTTTAGAATGAATCTTGGAATGTTGTTCAGATGAGGCCATTACATTCGTCGTCCCTGTAGAGGGCAAAGAAGATAAGTTCGTAATTGGACAAGGAAACGTCATAGTGCTGGTGACTTGGGATGGTCACGGCCAGAAACCCCCACGTGAAGTGTTGATTCCTGTCGGACAAGGACGCAAAAACAAAGTCACTGTTGGCAAAGTGGATCCTTCTGGACGTTTGTGGATAGGTAAGACTCCCCATAGCTCTTTCCCAAAAGGATGAAAAGTTTTCTTATAATCTGTATTATTACTGGGTCGTTTAGTTACACACTGCAATTCCAGTACTTTTAAATAAATGACGATAATAATTCATATTTTATACTGAGTGAAGCACCCGTAACGGTCCCTTCAAATATATTTTGAACAATACAGAAATACAGTTTTGACTATCGCTAACGGATGCAGGAAGCGGGGTAAGAAGTTGTGAAATAGTAGTTGTCTTTTGCAGACGTCTTTTTTCGCGCCCAAGTGAAATAATTCAAGGCCACGAGTGCAAACAATTTTAGACCAAGTTGTTTGAGTTTGTAAAGAAACCGATGATGGAAGGGAGGAAAGAAATTGAATTCATTTTAATAATAATCCCCATTTTACACTTTGATTTCGATCTCTGTAGAATGGCACTTAATCTGACGCCTGCACACGTGAATACCCTATGCCCTTGCATGTAACAACTTGGAAGCCGAACTGTTTGCAGGCACGTCCGACCACCTGGATCCAGAAGCCAGGTCGTCTTCCACAAGAGGCGGGCTGTTCAGCCTGGATCGGGGCCGCCAACTGAAAAAGCACGTGGGAGACATCTCCGGGTGTTACGGCCTGGAGTGGAGCCTCGACGGGAAGACGATGTTTTTCGTCGAACCTTTGAAGAAAACTGTGGATGCCTTTAATTTCGATGCAGAGAAGGGAGAATTATGTAAGCGCACGATGAGGAAAGAAAAACAATTTTGCTTCTTTGCTGTAAAGTAGTGAAATTCGAATTAAGACTTTTCAAGAAAAGTGTTTCAAGTTTATAAAGGGATGTAAGAGTAGCACATCGTCGCGGCTTCTGTTTCTCGGCAGAGTTCTGAAGCACTGTTTTAATAATTGCGACTGAATAAAATTTTCTGAAATCAATTTTTTCTAACAACTCAACTTTGTCAAATATCATTGATCCGGGAAATTAGCGATATGCCGTTTAGAAATTACTATTAATTTTACCAAAATATATTTGAAATATTAATTATTATCAATTTGTCTTCTCAAAACTATTCTCAAAACTTAAGAAAATTCGTTTGCATACATTGAAATAAGAGCACACTAGGGCGGTATTAAAATGGATAGGTTGAAATTTTTCTAACCCCTTCATCCACATTAATTTAAAATGTAAGTAAGTAAGGATCAAATAAATGTAACGGACACCACCAAGCATTTGATTTTTAGTGCGTTTTTAATTATTATATATTTTATAGAAACAAGTTAGGAAAGTAATTACAATTAAGGATATTGAAAGAACTCTCTTTGAACTACCATTTATAGATCCCCAGGCATAAATAATATTATATTTATAAAGTATTCAAAAGTATAAGATTTTTCATCAGTATAGTATTATTCGTATTTAATCCTGTAAAATCTCAATTGAAGTTCAAGTGAGGTCTTTAAATATACAAAGGAATTCAAAGCCTCTAAATGCAAAGACGACGCTAATGCACACATATATTCTCTAAGTAATGTTTCAGTGATTCAGCTCAAAAAGTGAATAAATTCTAAGTAAATACATATTAATAAAAATAATTTGGTTACCCGACTATAAACGCATGTGATGTATTGAATTATGAATTTCTGAAACGGCAACTTCTAAATTTAAGCCATATTTAGAATTAATTAACTAATCAATTTTGAAATCAAGTTTTACTCAGTCATTGATATTCTGAAAGAAATTTGAAGATTGTTTCCTCACTTTCTTTAATCGAGTACATAAAGTGAACTTTTGTTGCGCAGCAAACCGACGAGTTCTGCTCGATTACACCAACAAGATGAGAGGGGAACCGCGCGGCCTCACCATCGACGAAGAAGGCAAGCTGTGGGTGGCTTCCTTCGGCGGCTCACAGGTGATGCAACAAGGCTACACAACGATATGCACATGATATATATATATATATATATATATATATATATATATATATATATATAATTAATTAATATATATATATATTAATTAATTAATTATATATAGATTAGATATAGATATAGATATATCAAAATCCAAATGTCCCTTGATAATTAGTACGGTTAAATGACTGTCTGTGCTTTAGTAAAAGTCTGGAAGAAAAGAGATTTACGCGATTTAGAAAGATGATTATACGAAAATAATGTAACTAAAGAATAAAAATTTCCAAACATATTATCGATCGACATTCATTATGGGGGAAAATATTTACTTGTTCATTAAGTTTTCAAAATATAGTGTGGCAAGTTCAAACATTTTTAGTGTCCCTTTGTGATTGAATGTTGAATGAACGTGCTCCGTATTTCACACGCCCTGCGCAGGTGTTGCGAGTGGACCCCGAGTCGGGCGAGGTGATGAAGCGGCTGCCCGTGCCTTGCCGTGACGTCACCAACGTGACGTTCGGCGGAGACGACGTGGAGGACCTGTTCGTGACGACGTGCTCCTCGCGCCTGGAGCCCAGCGAACGCAACGCCTATCCCGGCTCGGGCACCACCTTCCGAGTCACCGACCTCGCCGTCAAGGGCACCAGGGCGCGCCACTTCCTCCTGTAGAGCGAGCTTCGGCTCTACGGGACGAGCAGAGCGGAGAGCAACGTTCTAGACCATCTCGCTGTGGAAAACTTCGGGAGCACAATGCGAAGACGGTCACGACGTGAACAACTCCATCATACTGCAGCGTTCAAAGCGAAGAGCATTGCGTTTTGAACAAAGTTGCAAACATTTCTAGCCCAAAGCTGTTTTTTTTCTGGAGCGTGTGGGAAGAAGCTCACATGCCGAATAAAGCTAGAGACATTTCTGGCCAATGCTATTTCTTTTCGGGATGTAATGAGAAGAAAGCTGCATTCTGGATAATGTTGCTGACGGTTTGGTCGCAATGTTGCTGCCTATATAAAATCGCAATGAAACGAAGGCCGCATTTGGCGCCATGTTGTTTTCGCTTTCATCACCACGCTTTCGTCACCATCTTCAAAACGTAAAAGAAAGAAGGCTGCTGCAGGGCAATGTTGCCTACGTTTTGGTGACCATGTCAGCAACCTCACACGCAATGAGGCGCCTCCTGAACAGCCGAAATGTTATTTATCTCGGCTGCGCATGTCATCATATACGTCTTGTAATGCGCTCATAATGAAGACATATGATGCCTCTATGTTACTTCTCAACGTTAGGTGCATAAAGATGGCCTCCGTTCATAAATTCTTATATTACGGTATATTTATATTGTGCAATCTTCATTACTCGTTAGTAAAAAATCGCAGAAAGACAATTTATAAATAGTCTCAAACTCGCTTTTGAAAAGCACAGTTTGATTAACAATAAAAATTGAACGAAAAGAAATTTAAATGTCGTACGGAAGTGGATCATGAGATAAAGAGATAAAATCATGAATATATTAGATTCAATTTGAACGGTTATGTTGTTATATGCTTGCTTATGAATAGCTGTTGAAGTGTTACTTTTTTAATGTCAGTGAAATGCTGTAAGTTAAAGCATCACATCCGTATTATTATTAAAAGACAGTATGAGGCAGTGTATTAATAGAAACAATATGTCATACGCCCTATGATTTTGTTGAGAAGAAACAAGTTTATTTTTGTGTTAAGACTGTAACTTTTAAGAATGTTTCTTTCAATAATAAAGGATCGAACCCAGAGCATATTATCAATGTTATTAACTTCTTAGGAACATAAATTCAAAAATACGGAGTGAATTTAATAACCCTCGTATCACATTGTGCTTTATAAATGGGTTAGTCAACGTACTTTGCAGCAGTTGTCGTAAGTTTAAAGTTGAATAACAACAGTTTGACATGAATCAGAAATATGTATGAATGGAGTATAGATTAAATGTAAGACATGTTTTATGTCATTTATTTTACTTATTTGATAATTACACATGTCCCACTATTTACAACGCTTCCTACAACAATCTCAATAAAATTGAAAACGAGTCATCAACGTGCCCAGCTCCCGGTACCAAGTACAACACTATCCGAAGCCAGTGCAGCATCCCCCATTCCCGCAACAGTTTTTCTATACATTCTGCAGTATAGTGCATCAGTTTTATCAACAATCTAATTTTCGAATACATTATCCAACCCCAGCAACACTTCCTTAACAACCCTCCCAGTCACGCCCGTAAGAAACACCGCCCCCCCTAACCGTAACTGCAGACATCATCGCAGACAGATCACACCGCACGCCGACGAGACTAACGCAACAAAAATGTAGTTCCACCACGACACAAACGTAATAAAATAGCTTCGTGATCCTCTCCTAAACCTCTCTATCCCTACCTTTTCTACGCACCCCTCTCACCCAAAAATGAAATAAACCGTCTTAATCCCTAACAAGCCTTTCCAGCCCTAGCTGCTCTGGAGGGCAGGAAGGCAGCCGGCCGCATTAGAAGGAAAGGACCCAACGCAATGGAGGACATCGAAACAGACTGCCCAGAAAGCTCCATCGGAAGCAACCTGATTACGAAGCTAGTAACGAAGACTCTTCAAAAACTATTTGTTTCATAATTAGAATTTTGTGCTCTTCAAATATCCAAACAAAATTTTTGTGCTCTTTGAGTTTTTAACACGACGTTTTGTTGGAAATGTTTGTGAAAAATTAACAACACAACAAAAATGATTTGGGGGATATTTGTAAAGTACAAGAATTGCACAAAATAAAGATAATTAAAAAATTGTTTTTACAAAAGTGTCTTTGGAAGGTTGACGGGCAGTAGGTATCATTTTCTCTGCATTGGCCGATCATATAAAACACGGAGGTGTTTTTTTACGTATTTCAGGTCATGAATAATGGTTTTGTAACTTTGGGGTAACTATAGCGGAACTCGCATACGGACACACAAACATCCACGCCCCGGGCGGAATTTGAACCCGCTACCCGGACTGCACGGACGTAGTTGTACACTTGTCTCCATAAAAACAACATCCAGTTCTCTTGAAACTTCTTGTTTGCATGCGTCGCATTCTTGGGGCGCCCTGTACTGCTCCATCGCTCTCATAAATGATGGGAGCGTGGCGGCCCAGGGGTCAGGTGGCGCGCTCTGTGTTTCCGCGGCGGAGGCGGCGCTGCGCAGTTTGGTGGCGAGGTCGTGGGTGGCATTTCAAATAACCCTCCACTTTACTCATGAAAGATTTAATGTGTCGACGGCCACACTTTCGCCTTGACGTTCGGGAAAAACTCCTTGTTTTACACGTGGCAAACAGCTCATAGGAATCTCTAATAATTATTTCCAAAGCGCGCAGAAACTGAAAGAAAGTTGTGAAGCCCTCATCCACGTGAGATGAGTCTATTATTTTGTGACATACCATGAACTGGAGAAAACCCAAAAAGTATGTAACTCTTTCGATTTTGCCTGAAAATTGCTAACGTTTGTGTTATTTCGCCTCTTCTCATACTGCGCGAACTGACTAAATTGTCATTCTGAATGCGTTGCTGTCTACCACACAGCTGCTTTTTATGTTGGCAAGACTCCATGGAAGAGACCTCTCACCGTTGAATATTTGTTATTAACGAGTTGCGTAATAGAACAGCACTTTTGTTTACGTTTACAAGTCGTACGGAAAGAACTAATGTAATGGGTATATACTATAGTTGCACTCCGTATACTATTCTATACTGTGTTATTGGAGTTCTCCGGTAAAAATATGAATGTATTGTAATATTATACGAGAGTATTTCATTTGTTATCTCCAGCAGTGTGCGTCCTACGTTTTGGGAAATCGTTTTTGTGGTAAATTTCTTCTCAGGTTCCTGCTCGCCACTAGTTACACAACATATTACAACAACAGTAAATTATTGAAATATTTACATTTATGAAGTTAATAGTGGGTAACGTATTGTAGCAATTCTTTATTTTTGTACAATATTTTAAAGTTCACTTAACATGTTGTGGTACTTTCCCACTCGTATTCGCCTAAAATTAGTTAAGAAATTTTCCTCCTCTTCTGTAAACTGAACAAATTACCAATAGTGTGTCAAAAAAATCGGTGGTACAACAGAATGGAACAGACTTTCCCGTGTTAGTTTACTATTTCCTTTCATCTCGCTTAGCTATATAAACTTGCCACATATTCTTGCAAGCTGCCATCTATCGCCGCCCAAAGTACATTTTTTGACATTTCTTAATTTTTCGATTTCCTAATGGTGTAACGGATATATATTTTGAAATATTAAGAATAGTAAAACTTCGCCATTATTGGCAATATTCTTTGAAAAATTTAGAGCCGATTTTTAGAAAATAGTGCTTAAGCCCGACTATAAATTCAAGATTTGAAGCTCATTTTCACAGAAAAGTTTTGAGTTTTAGAAAAACTTCATTAGAAGCCATCAGAAGCATTTTAACTCACATATACAATATTGTTTACAAATTGCTGGAAATGTGCAAAGACGTGAGAGATCTTTCAAAATATTAACATTGTAGTTTTTGAAAAAAAAACACCGAAATTAACTTCACGTCATATTAAAGAGTGCAATTAGTACTATCCGTTAGAAAAGTTTGAAGAAAAAATTTGGAGCCTTTATTGAGAAAATGACGTTTGAGCGTTTCCGAAAATGCGAAAATTTGAGCTAGTTTTCACAGAAAACGGGTGAGTTTTCGAGAAACTTTATATGACATTATTTAAAGCACATGTACGCGTAAATACAATAATGTGAACAAATTGCCACTAATATAAATATTAACGACATGAGAGACAAGTAAAAAAATATGTTTTGTAATTTTTGAAAAAAATAAAAGAATAGCGCAATAAGGCGTTTATGTAATCTTGTAGAGTACATTAAACGCTATCCCAACCAAAAGTTTAAAAAAAGAATTTGAGGTGTTTTTAAGAAAATCTTCTCTATGTATTTTTTTAAAAAATTGTATATATTGCACGCATTCTTGTGCAAAAACTTGTTGCCTTAGGGTTTCAAAATTTTGGCTGCGGTAATGAGAGATTGATTACTGGAGGGGCGAAGGGTGACTGTGCTGAGGTGACGTTTGCGAGTTGGAAAAGATTTGGGGCGGGTCTGGGGAAAAGTTGTGGAAGGAGTGGGGTTGTGAGAAGTGTTGGTGCAATTTAAATGGGATACCTTTTCTGTGAAGGAGATTCTGGTACATGGACATGGTACACCCACGACAACTGACTGCATGCAGTTTTAGCAGCACAGTTTGCATACTGTAGGTTGCCTTCGGTGCAGTCATAAGTGGCATGGCTTTTGGAGCAGCGAACACACCTCACAGGAAGACCGCAGTTTTTCTTGGTATGGCCGAAGTCTTGACATCCTCAACACTGACAGGCCCGAGGCGACGTCTTCTTTCTTCTACTGTGATAATGGCTTGAAATAGTTCAGTCGAATTATAAGTGTTGAGGGCATTATTCCAGGGTACACATAGGGGCCACGTTTTTTTTTGTCATTGCCAGAGAGTGTTATTATTTTTAGGATCGGAAGGTTTCTTTGATGAGTTCCTCTTCAATTTCCTTTTCACTGTAATCTACTGGTACATTTCGTAAGGTTACGGACATGGTTAGTTTGGTAGGTATCTGGATCTTGGTAGGTATGATCATTCAGGCTGTTTGCTTGTAGATTCTGTCTTGAGGTTCTGTAATCGTCTATGCTGTTAACCAGGGCCGGATTTACCTACAAGCAAAACAAGCAGTTGCTTGGGGGCCCCCATTCCACAGGGGCTCCGCGTTTCGGAAAAATGCGCATACCATATTTTTTTGTCTGTGAAATAATTGTTAATCAAGTAGTCTCCTGTGTAAACTGAAGCGGATAAAAAACTATCTACGTACGACTATGTCTCAAGAAAATTTAGTAGACCTAGGTATCCTGAGTATGGAGCATGATAAGCTGAGAAATCTTCGTTTTGAAGACATCAGCGACCAATTTTCTGCAGTGAAAAGCAGAAAAAAATTATGTAAAATGTATTTAACGTAAAAAAAGTAACACAAGTAAAAATGTCTACAAAAAATTATCAGTTTTCATTTGTATCTGTAATGAAAGTACTTGTACTATAATACATTTTTTATTTAATAAAGATGGAGCTATTTTTTTGGGGGAGGGGGGGCAACACAATTTTGTGCTTGGGGCCCCGTACTACATAAATCCGGCCCTGCTGTTGACAATTACTTGGATTATTTTGCTTGATTGTAGGTTTGGAACTGGTTATGTTTTAGTATGTTGATGGATTGTTTTGATAAGATTGGGATGACCTTGGGCGTCGTGGATGTACGTGAGAGGTATTTTGATTTTTGTTGGGTTTGAGGAAGAGGGATTTGTAGGTGTATCTTGGATGATTAACGGGTTTCGAAACGGATTCTTACAGGAATGTTGTACATTGTGGGTGAATGGGGGAGGGGGGTAGATTAGGAGGGGTAAGGAATGATTCAGACGTTTATAAGGCTGTTGCCCTGGCGTAATTATCAGTTCGGAGTTGTTGACGTGCAATTAGAGTTGAGATGTTCCATAGGTTCGATGTCCGACTGCTGATGTACCTTTTCCAGTAGATGCGAGGGAGGATTGTCGTGAAACTAATAAAAGTCTCTGATCGTGCTAAACCGCTTACAACCTTGTTTGTGCTAAAATGTCTAGGGATTATGCCATGTTGCAGTTCTGACTCCGAAGATGGAGTTCGCACTTTGTCTAACGCCAAGTTCGGCCGTGAATTTGACAACAACTTTAAACACCGACACTTTAAACACTCGTTGAGTAGATTTGCCGCAATGCGGCTGTAGCGGCCTTGCGATGCGCCGGTGACAGGTTGTCGTCCGTCCGCTGGGGTGTGGCGCTGATAACACACCTGCTTGCGATAACGACGAGCGGAGCACAAGGGAGAACCTTCTCCTTCTGC